TAGTTTTGATCTGGTTGCAACAAATCTTGTGCACTCACTTATTATATATTGTAGACTTTCAATTTTACCTGAACAAAAAAGCAGTTAGGATTATTTTGAAGTCCGAACCGGTGTAAACATTCGCTAAAACATCTATGCCAAGTCAGAAACAGCGGTCATTGAAGTTCTAAATCGCCAGCTACTCAACTAATATATACATTTTTTTTTTTGGAAATAGCGAATACATACACCTTGACTTTTGAGTGTAATTTAACTGTTACTGCCATTCATTACGACACTTGTTGATTGACACTTGATACTTAGTTTTTAAATAAAAACTGCGATTTCACACTTTCAACGTTTTATCAATCTCTAACCATTAGCGCTTTTAGATTCACTATTATGTGTGAAGCCAGCCCATTCGCATCATCATTGAAAACACAGTCTACAGTCTAAGATAGCTCCAAGATATGTAAGTTAAGAGTGTCATTGTGCTTCAATGCCATCATTTAAATAATAACTACATTTGAAACAGTTTAAGCCGACATTAAATCGACTAAACACCCAATCACAGAATTTTAACATAGATTACTAAATCACTTTTACCATGAATTTTTCTTTTACTCGCGAAGTACAGCTCTTGTTAAGATAATGAAGTTAGCTTGAACATTTTTTGTGTTCTTTCGTAAAAGAGAGACTTTACTTAGTTGGTCATTACAGACAGCCGCGTCGAGTAGCCTCCGCCTGCCAGTTCGATCAGTTACTTGCTGTCGCCAGTTGGTGGTACCGAGCACCAGGTAGTCACATGGTCCTTCCAAGTGAAGATGCGGATGTCCTCTACCACGATTTCCACCTGCGGGAACCGAGTTAAACAACGGAGCACTTTCTTCCATTCACACGGAAGAAACTTAACTTAAGAAAGTTTCTTCCTTAAGTCAATGTCGCTTAACTATGTCAATGTAGCGGTATAGCTCCAGAAAGAGAGACAGGAGGTTTAAAACCAGAACCATTTCATTCAAAACGGGTCATATAGGCACCTTGTTTATACATCATAATGCAAAAAGGGTATGAGCTTGTCAAAATTTGACGATGCATTTTAATAATGACAACTATTTAGTACAACTTTTCCCACTACGCTGTATGTTAATATAATCTATTTTTTGAGATATCAGCCCCTAAATTGGAAAATATGTACAAGGTGCCAACTGGGGCGTGTACTTGTTATTTGTTTGTGTAATCATTATAAGCGTACTTTTTTTGATGATGTATTTGATGTGAAACATTTACAACCTTAAAACTCGAAGTCTTAAGATACATGCTGCATTGGTATTTAACGTAGTGGAAAAAGTTGCTCATAATACTGAAATTTACCACAATCCGTTATGTGATCTGGCTCTATTTTGTTCAAATTTTGATTTTAATTACCGAATTACTAAAATATTTCAGAATAATTCATGATTCTAAGTACTCATATGTCGTAGCATTTAAGCTCTCACAGGTTGATATTAAGAAAACTCAGCTTGATAGACGATAAATTATTTCACAAATAATCATTATAGAATAATAGGATATTGATTTTCGAGAATTAAACAAAAAAAATTAATATTCTCTAAAGAAATGATAAAAAAATATGTGAAAAAAATCCATTGTGAACCAGCATAATATCCGAATCCATTTAACTACATCATACCATAGTTCAGGCATAAAACTATTAAATATTTAATAGGTCTAGCATACAACTATTGGGACAAACTTTTTGTGAGATGTTGCGGATCTTTTGACTGACTTTAAAGGGCCCATTAGACAGCAACGCTCGTTGTCAACGCGCGCTTGCCATTACACAAACAATTTTTTAAAAATTTTTTAAACACGCCTCAGATAAAACAACAAATATACTAAAAAATCGCTCTCACATCAGAATTTTTTCTCCTACTTTTCTCCTACTTTGTGAAATGCGAAATTTGTTTGTGTAATAGTAACATTTGAAATTTTAAGAAATGGGTTGACGAAAATCAAAAAATTTTGATATTTCTTCAAACATGCTCGTGTTTTTGCATATACAGTCGGATTTGGTCGGTTTGCACAATTTTATTTATTTTGAGAAATGGAAGCGTAAACATCGTTTAAATGCACGCATGATTTGTCGTTAGCATGCCATGCTTTGCAAATATGAATGAATTTTATTTTAAATATTTGTATTTTCTACCTAGATAAAATTTTTTAATTTCCAAAACATTTTATTAAGAAGAATTAAAATATTAATAACCTTGGGTTAAAAAAAAATAACCAAACATTAAATTACAATAAAAATTTTGTTTTAAAAATTAATTGCATTGTGCACCTACGAAAAATTTGTTATTAAAATATACCAAAAAAAAAAAAATTAAATTATATAAAATATAATATATATAAAAATAAATATATAAATTGAAATCATAAAAATAAATATAAATATATAAATTAAAATTATAAATTAAATGTAAAACATATTTTTTCGTAAGGAAATAACGCATAGCAGCCGCTGTCGACACTTCAGCGATTGCTTTAATACTGATGAGTGAACAAATTTTTGCATTGTTTGCTGGAGGCGTGTTTAAAAAATTGTTGGTAAATTTAATGTGTAATGGAGAGAGAAGACTTCGTGTGTTTGTCAACGCGCGTTGATGTCTAAGGGCCACTTTACACTTTATATCTTATGTTTGTATTAATAATGGACATCTTCCTTCCAAATTTTTTTCGTTTCTTAATCAACAAACCATTTTTTGTATTTTCACTATTTTATCAAGAAACACCGTGTATATATGTACTACATAGATTTCCAATGAACATTACTGCAAAAAAGTTATTTGCTAAAATACAAGTACATTTTAAATTAATATCGTAGTCTTCATATCTTCATTTCAAACACCACTATATAGCTGAAATCAATTCACATCAACGAAACCCAAAACTCATTAGTACTCGTACATAAGTTTAGAGTCGAATCACACTAATATATACAATAATACATAGAAAAGTAGTTGTGATTATCATTGCACTATTCCAGTCACACACAGCCAACCCAACTCCTACTGTTTCGATTAATTAGCATACGTAATTGATGGTCGCAAAACTTTGCCTACGAATTTTGAACGGAATGTGCAGAGCACATACTTTATGTTGCTTGTTTCCTGCAAGCCTCGGTGCTGTTAGATGTTCTTTTTGCTAGTCTCTTTTTTTGGAGTGGACAACTTCAAATTGTATCTTGTTCTCTGCAATAATACTCTGCTCGGGAGCAAACGTGCCTCAGTCTATTCGGAACGTGACTTTGGTGCGAATTACTTTTGCTTTGATTTAATGTAATTAAAAAATTTCAAACTAAATTTAAATATTAAAAAAAAGAAATTTAAATAAGACCAAAATTACCATTACGGATATAAAAGAATGTAAAACAATGCACACACGAATTGATGAAATTAGAAGGTCCCTCGTCCATAGTTCAAATGACAAATTCCAAAATAATAAATTTAATTTGTCCAATTGGATCAACATCGTTCGCTTTTGAATTGTAGATATGTAGAAATGCAGAAAAAGTTCTATAAAATTGTGATAACTTTAATAAATTTATTAATGCTTGATTATTTCTTCCTTCGAAATTCTCACAAAAAATATTTATTTGTCATGGATTACTTTCATTACTGTCATTTTAGGGAAGAATTCTTTGGTAGAATATATGGATGTTTAACTTATTGTTACATTGAGGTATGGAGAAATTACAGCGTATAGCCGTAACTTTTAAAAATATTTTATTTGTGACTTATGTCATTTATTTAGTTCCATCTTATATATATTTTTTAAGAACTACGACTTCAAGACTTTACAACTACGACTACAAGTGGTTTTACACCAGCTTTTGTTTATCGTTGATCGGCAACATATTTTGACATCCGAACAAATAATAATAGTAGTTGAGTTGTTGTGTTTAAAGTGACATTGCCTACGTACACAAAACGCTTTACTTTTGTAGGCAAACAAGATAACTACGAGGAGTAGTTTGGTTTACAGTAAAAATGCGATAATGGTCAAAAATCGGTCGGTCACAAGTACGAATCGATGAGATCGATGGTCGATTTCACAGATAGATTAGCTAATATGTTACTCATCATTTATATATTAATGAACGTCTTTTAACCGTATGAACAACTCTGTCACCAGATAAACAATCCTCAGTTAAAGCAGTTTCATGAAAGTTTTAACAACTCTCAATGTGAAGTCTTTATTGAAAGCTCATTTTTGTACCGATGGCACAAAATGAGGCAACATTTTTCATTGAAACTAGTTTAAACTATTTACTTAGTTTTCTATTTGACTTTTATATAGCTTAGGAAACTGATTTGTACTGTTATAATAAAAACAAATCTGTATATTCCTACGCAATAATCTAAATGTTATGAATGATATACAGAAATTCTTAAAAATTCTTACTGTTTTATAATACATTATATAAAAAATTTTAAAAATTTATTTTTTGCCTTTTATTGGCATTATAAATACAATACAAATCATCCAACCGCAATAAAATATTATATCTGTGTAATTCATCCTAGATTATTAAACATGCATCAATAAGTGCATACACAATATTTTTGTTAAAAAACACAATAAAATACATGCAATACAATTGCACCAAAATTTTTCCTTCTTCTTATGCAAACGAAGCAACAACAATGTACATTAAAAACGTTTCCGTTTCGATCGTTTTGTTCGACGGACACTAAAAAGACCACTACCTTCGGGAAAAGAACACTAAAAAGATCACTACCTTCGTGAAAAGATCATTTAAAAGACCACTACCTTCGGGAAAACAACACAAACAGTAAAATAAAATTTTAAACAAATTTTAAAAAATTTTTAAATTGTTTCGGACTCTTTTTAATGTACTGTTCATTTAGTGTTTTTTATCAAAGATGACAAACAGTACACTATGTTCAGTACTTTAGTGTTTGTTTTTGTTCAGTGATTTAAAATATTTTCTTTTACAGTAATTCGAACTTTTTGAATACAATCCATGAAGAGACTATAATAGATGCACACTCCAACAACCAAAATGTTAATAAAATTTGTGATGACTTGAAATGCAATTTTCAAAGCTGCACCTATGAAGCCCCGGATCAACAACTTTTAACCGCTCACTGCAAACGTCATACTGATGGCTCATTTATATGTCATTTCCAGGATTGCAAATACTCCTCACAGATATACCAACATTTTCAAAGGTAAACTGTTTAATTTAATTATACTTTTCCGTAGTCCATATTTTTACTATATATTTATCCTCTTAATAGATTTTAAGTGTCTCTTTTTTTGGTTAAAAAGTTTGTTGGGTCTGATTGATTTTATAATATTTTCAAAATCTTAAAATGTCTTAAAATGAAATGAAATAAATAGCTTGAAAAAGACACAGCACTTGCAATAGTAAAACAAATCCTTATTGGGAATCCTTACTTAACAAAAAGGCTCCAAATTTCTGCACTACATTATAATAGCTTTATTCTTTTCTGTTTCATGCCCGACTTAATGGTAATGGTTTATGGCTTAGGCTAAGAGCTTTATGCACTGCGACCAGCTTGATCTATTGTGCACCCCTTTGTATTACAGATATTTAGTATCTCGAGGAATCGAACCAGAGTCTAGTTGGTATGCACCTATAATTTTGTTTCTTCTGTGGCCTAGTGCATCGCAGTTGGTGATCAGACATTCCATGGACTCTTCCTCATCACAGCAGAATCTGCAAATATTTATGACGCATCTGCAAACATTTTGTGTAGGTGTTTATTGCAAGCCGCGTGGCCTGTTAGTGCACTGGAGAATGACTTTTGACATTTTCTTGCTTAGATTGAGAATGATGTTTGCTTCTTTTGCCTCAAAATTCAAGAATTTTTTGAAATAATTGGTTGTAAGGACCTTTGATGTGAATGTTTGGTCTCTATTATATACATATTATGTCATGAGAAATTGCATCTGTGCTTATTGTAATTAATTGGTGTGCTCTGGGTCCTACTATACCTGCTTCTACACCTTGAAGCGTTTTGAATCCATCTGTATACAATTTTTGCAAGTCGTTATGTAACCATGTTGGGTTAGCATTCTACTCCTGCCTTGATGAGAAGATGACTCTCTATCTCTTTGTGAAATTGAGTATTGTGTGTTCAATTGCTTAGGTCATATATATAGCGTTTTCAACCTTGGTAAGGATTTGTAGATGTCCAGTGAGATGTCCTGCTTTGAATTTTACTTTTGTGTGTATTGAGAGTGCTTGCATTGCAGCTTCCTATTGTATTGCTAGGTGTAAAAGTAGTAAATTAAATACTGCTTCCATGTCAGCAGTTGGGGTAGTTCTCATATCCTCTATAATACTCGGGCACGCCAACCTCTGTAATTTGCTCAGTTTTGATATAACTATAGCTTGTTTAGTTTTTCCCCACCATACCAATGCCCCATATAGTATGATGGATCTAATCATTTTGGTGTAGATCCAGAAAACCATTGTAAGGCCGCAGGATTTTTGTAGAAGTTGTTTTGTAGTCCAAAGGCTTTTCTTACCCTTTTTATTTACAGAACTGAGGTGTATTTCTCAATTGAGTTTTTTATTCAGGATAATTTCTAAATATTTTACCTCCTTTAGGAGTATCTCTATCGTGTTTATTGTTAATATGTCCAACGGTCTTTTCCTGATTAATTAGACAATGATGGTTTTAGTAGGATTGTATTTAGGGCGTCCTGCACTAAGTCCATATTAGTCCTTTCATGGTTGCCTATGATTATTACTGATATCTCATCTCCATATCCAATTGTTTTATACCATTTGTTGTTGAGGATTTGTATTAGGTTATCAGCTGTTAAGGACCATAGCTATGGTGAGCGTTCTTCCCCTTGGCGGCATCCTTTTACTGCTGTAGCACTACAATTGACTTTTCCTTACGAGGCTGTGATCTTTCTTTGGTTTAGCATATTGTTTACATATTTTACTATTGTGGGATATGCTCATCTCTTGGAGAATAGTAGTAGATGGTAGATAATGCACCGAGAGCAGCTTCCTTTAGGTTTAGTACTTTTTGTATAATTTAAACAATTGTGTGAAGTGCTGGGACCTTGGATTTGCCTTTTTGATAGGCAAATTGTAGCTTGTGTAGCGTATTGACAATTTCTCCTCTTAGATAGCAGTCAAGTATTTTTTCCATAGCTTTCAATATGAAAGACGTAAACCTGATTAGTCTATTAGATTTGGGAAATTCAGGGGGTTTATTTCCTCTCTTTGGTAAAAATAGCACCTTAACCTTAGCAACTTTCAGTGTTTCAGTGTTACAGACTCTTTAGAGATTAGGGCTGGGAACAAATCATCTGGTCCTGGTGATTTGTAAGGTTTGAATAGATTTATGGACCATTCTACCCTTTCAAAGGTAGCTATTTCAGTTATAATGGAGTTTCTTGCCCAGTGATTATTGTAAACTAGTGCCCCTTGCTCATTGTCACTTGTTGCGTTGAGTCGAAAATCAGGGAAATGAAGTGCAAGAAGAAACTCTAGTGTACAAATTAGATTAGTACCCCCTTCGATAGTAACTTTTGTATTCTTGCAGTATGCGGGACGTCTTTAAGTTCTTTACACAGACGTTTTTCCACGAGTTCCTTTTTGATTTCCTTAGTTCCTTGTTGTATCATGTTAAGTGTTTCCTACATTCTTCACATGAATTATTTTTCCTTGCATCGTTGAATTTGGATCTTGCTATTTTGATTTCCTTAGTTCCTTGTTGTATGATATAAGGTGTTTCCTACATTCTTCCCATGAATTATTTTTCTTTGCATCGATGAATTTGGATCTTGCTATTTTACGGAACTTGGCAAGTTCTTTATTTCACCAGGGAACTCTTTTCATTGAGGATTTGTTTTGAGTGGAATACATTCGTATATAAGGATATTATGGAGTTAGTCAAAATTTTAACTGATGCGTTCAGTTTCTATTTTGATTTTAAGGGAACCATTTTTCTGGGTTGTTTAGATTCTAGACATTTGGGTATTTCTACACTCTTATTTAATTCCCTTATTTAAAAGAGTATGTGTTTATGATCAGACATTGAGTGCTTATCAGAGACTCTCCAGTTAGTGATCAAATCAATTGAATTATTGGTTATGAGTGTCAAGTCAAAACCTCTTGGCATATAGCATTCCCGAAGTTGGTTTATTACCCCTGTTTGCAATAGCTATGTTTGTTTGCAGTAAAAACTCCATGAGTGACTAACCTCTTGTGTTTGTATCGGTGCCCTATATTGTATTGTGCATTTTTGAATCGCAGCCAATTATCAAAAATCAAAAAAATTTAATATTGGTATCAATATTAAGTGCAGTTTTTGGTTTGGCTGCATCCACGTCATAGATCACATGCGTGTTTGGTGTTTTGAGGCTTCTCTCTCTGAATCCAGGGCTTTTGAATGAGCCCTATGTTTGTGCTGCTACCGTCAAACCTTCTGCTAATTTTGGCTATTGCAACTTTAGAATGACGAAGATTTGCCTGAATGCACTTCATGTTTTGTTTTGTGGGATTAGTGTTGGGTAAAGTACTTTCGTCCTCTTCTTCTAACTCCACTGCGTCTCTAATCATTCTGCCATTCCATCTTACATTAGTAGGTGCAGTTTTTAGCCGATGAGTCACTTGACCAAAGCAAAAATTGATCTCCTCGCCTGACTCTTCCAGACTGGCTACTGAATTGTAGTCAACTGCAAGAACCAGAGTGACATTAAAGCCTCTTTTAGCTCTTTTAAGTGTACGCAATGTATCGGCGTAGAGGCCTTTATTTTACCCCTGAAAGAGGTTCAGAATCCTAGAAGTCTCTAGGATCTGAAAGTTGGGAAAGTACCCACAGCGATCCGTGGGTGAGGTGTTTTAGTTTTCTCTGTGGCTCACAGTGATGTACCTACCCATGGTTGGTTGATGCACCATCTTCACAGTGCACAACCATGTATCCTTCTTTATATATGATACCCAGATATTCTAGTTTTGTGGTCTGTTACTTATTATTTTGCCCGCTTTCACCTGTTGTAATTTTATTGTTATTTGTTTTCATTTTTGATTCCCTAAGTAGAGAGAAAAGTCGGACCACACGCCAGTGCCCCGATGACGCAGTAAAGCACTTGTTGAAATTTGGCTTTGCACAGGCACTCGACGTTCGCATATTTGTAACTAAATACCCTCCAATCTTTCATCCATCTACATACGCTGTTTTATCTAGGATTTGGGGTTTGTGTAGAGTTTTCTCTCTTACCCTGACTATATTAGCCACACTATCAGCAGAGATACGACCTTATTGAGAGGCATGTTACTGGGGCACCACGTGAAGGCTATAATCGCACTTCCATTAACCTAGTAGTTACGGCACAGCAATGATAAGACCACCTAAATGTGCTAATGACAACTCCCCCACACCCGACTTAGCATTTGAGTTAAAAGTGTGTGGTTTGTTGCTGTTATTACTGAGCTGAATGGATTTATGAATGTAGTTTTGGTTGTCTGTGGTCTCTTTTATTTTCGAATAATAACACAACACCTAGATATACAAGAGAAATACTTTAAACTTTCGATCTTATAATTTTACTTTCGTTGTCGATCATCGTAAAGATACCCACAGTTGTTGGATGTTACTCCATTCCTGTCTTATGGACAGTTATGATAAGATCCTTATAAAATGATATGTGATATGTGGAAAGTCTCCGTCTATTAATAAGAGTTAATTTAATTTTGTTTTGTTAGTGACACGTTAATGACAAATTTGTCGATCTATTAAGATTTATGTATTAGAAAATTTTATTAATAAATACTTAACAGTTTATATAAATGATATTTAGATTTCGGCACAAATAAATCTCTTTACTTATAATTGCTTTTTGCTAAATAGTAAACCATGTAATCAAAGATTAATAATAAAAGGTTACCTATAATGCCCTTATTAACATATATTACTGCTGCTGCGGATGTTGCAAACGCATGAGTTGCAGTCATCAACAATATCGTTAGTAGCTTGGATTGACTGTAATCCAGCAACAATTCTTTCTTGTCCATACATCTTCCTTTTTATTCTCCTCTCAACTGCTTTGTTGGGCTGTAACAATTCTTGAAGTAAATTTCATCTAATAGCAACAGTAATAACGCATACCTACCAGTGGTAATAATGCGAACGGCTTTTTAGCAACAACTAAGCTAACCTGTGTCTGTTTAGCACAATTC